GCTTGGATGTTAGATTGTGAAGCTACAAGGAATCAAGAATTTTCTTGTATGAGATAGAAGTGAATTGTTAATTTAAAAGGAACCAAATCAGTCGTATAATATGATGATAATAATCTTGGAAGGTTGGTAATGATTGTGGATATGTGACAACAATGTGTTTGGCACTATGCCTTGAGAAAAAAAATGTTAAAGATAAGATATATAGATAAGTAGAGAATTATGTGTTTTTGCATGGAATCCTATTTTGAATGCACAATTTGACTGGAATTGGAGTAGTTATGAGTGGTTATGATAAATATTCTTGGGGAATTTGAAACGTTACAACCCATCAATGTGTAACCCCCCAAAAGTCTAAAGCCATAGGTTGGCCAATAACTAGGAATCCACCAAAAATCATGATAAAAGTTATTGATAGCTTATTACTTGAGCCTTATAAAGAGCTCACAGATCCCATTTTCGATCAATGTGGGAAGAGTTATTACATAGTGTATGTTTGAGAGTGTGTTAGCGATTATTGAATAGTGTGTAAATTGGTGAATTGTGTATATAATTTTTGTTTGGGTAAATTCAAGATCATTTTATCAACCAAATTTTGAGTTACTTTTGGTTAGAGAACATAAACCAACATTGACACTCGTGTTGGGTTTTTTAGAGCATACAAAATTATTTGCAAAGTTTCAAAATGGACTTCGAGAAATTAAGTGTTTAAGACATGTTGTCACCAAGGTGAAGTCAGGGTGGAGTCGGCATATATCAAAACATGTAATATATTGGATAACATTGTGATTATTTCAATGGTAGTGGAGAATATTCATGGTTGAGGTGTTTTGGTAATCGAGTTCGGATCCGAAGTTGGGAAATATCTGGGACGGCTATTAGGGGTCCACATAAGTTTTGTCACTCTATCTTTTGGACATTAATAAATATATTTAGACCTTTTTCAATACCATTTGGTGTTCGAGTATTAAGAAAGATATAGTCCAATATGCAGAGTGGTGTTCAACATGTTTACAAGTGAAAGTAAAGCATCAACGATCGTACGATAAAACCTTCAACTTTATATATATTCTTGTGCCAAAATAAAATTATACTATGAGGGACTTTGTGATAGAGTTGGCAAGACATCCAAAGGATATTTATGTGGTCTGATAATTTTGGATTAGTTTTATAAGATGACTCTTTCCTTGTCAACTAAGGAGATCAAATTGGGAGGATGGCTCAATCATATACTATAGAGGTTGTCTTTAGTCAAGCAATGCCGTTATTGAATGTATCAGATTGTATTGGCAGGTTTACTAACTCGCTTTAAGAGAGTTTTCAATGAAAGTTGGGATCTCAAATTTGATCATCTGCAAGCAATGGGGAGAGTGAGAGAATGATTCATATACCTTCGAAGATATGTGGAGGGCTTGTGTTGTCGCTTGCGATAGATTGTTGGAAGGTCATTTGCGATTGATAGAGTTTTCATGTAATAATAATAATTATTATCATTAGAATATTCAGGTCGTTTCATATGAAGTTCTGTACAATTGAAAAGATAGAACACCTTTGTGTTGGAATGAAATAAGAGAAAGGCAATTGACTGGTTATGAAGTTCTTTACAGTTGAAAAATTAGAACACCTTTGTGTTGGAATGAAGCAAGACAAAGGCAATTTTCGGGACCGAAAATAATCCTGGTAATTGCGGACAACATTGCCCAAATTTAGGAAAGGCTAAAGATGGCTCAGAATCGACAAAAGAGTTGCACTAATGAACGGCGTAAATCGAAAGGGTCTAAGTGGGGGATAAGGTGATGTTGAAGATTTGGTATGTTTCAAAAAGAAGGGAAGTGGAGTTGATGTTATATTGGACCATCTGCAATTATTGAACATGTAGGTGATGTAGCATATAAGTACGAGTTACCGAATGAGCTCCAGGGCATCTACTACACATTGCACGTGTCTAACTTGAGGAGATCCTTGATAAACTCTCGAGAGAGCCTTCCCAGAGGAGATTGTAGATCGTAAAACAAGAGATTGAAAAATAAGGAGTTAGGACTTGTAGAAGTCCGGTGGGAATACCCCAAAGTCCAGAAGGGGCCTGGGAATCTGACGGGAACATGAGTTCCATGTATCTATAATTGTTTGAGTAAAGGAATTCCGTTAAGGTGGGGTGTTGTAATAACCATATCCTAAATTAAGTTTGGAAGTTTGGGATTTAAAGCGTGAACACCTTATTACTTGAGGGATCGTTTATGTAAATGGGGTATTAAAAGAAGATTTCATCCTCGTTTGCATAGGTCGAGATTTTTAGTGTGTGTGTGAGGAGAGCTTTCTTGGAAAAAAAGAAAAGAAAAGGGGTTTCCACGTAGATTTGAGAAGAGCTACATGAAAATCATGGAAAAAAGGAGTACTTGGTATTTCTTTTTTCAGTTAACCAATGTTTCCCTCATTTATCTGTATCTCCTCTATTGTAGTGAGCTTGAATTTAGGTTAGAAATGGTTTTTGTGTTTGGATATTCCTTGGTAAATGGTGTTTCAGAAATTCTTTTTGGTAACCCTTTTGAGTATTGATTTTTGATTTGTAAATGAAATGCTCATCGAAATCCTTCGAAGTTGATGAAATCATTGTGGGAAAGAGTTTTGAATTTGAAATCTATGGTTTATGGTGTTTGGAGCGAAATTGGAAGGATAGATTCATGTTTGGTGGGGATTAATTGTGTTTTAGAACATTATTGGTTATGTTTGCTTATATTGAGAATTGTTTATTCTTGGAAATCAATGCTAGAATGTGGATTCGAGTCTTCTAGTTTAAACATGTGTTTCAAGCAAAACAGTAGATTATGTGACTTAGTGCACGACTTAGGTCATGGCACAAGTCGCGTATGTTACTGTTTCGGCGCAACCTCGTTTGTTTCCTTTCTAGTTTCAGGGTAGGGTTGGAGCATCTTCTGAGAGTTGCTTAGAAGGTTATGAGAGTTTCCTAGTGGGATAATTAAGATAGTTTAACACCTCTTTTAATCCAATTAATTCATGTTTTCGGTGGGGATTTTAGTTGTTAGAGCTCTTGGTAGAGCATCGACCGGAAGATGAGTTCTCTTACCCTAATTTCATAAATGTGTTATCTTCTTTGAACGTTTTAAAACATTGATTATGGTTTCTATGATTTGGTAATTTAATTTTGTCAATTATTATTCAGTATCATTAAATTATTTTTTGAGCCATACCTTCTATGTAGGATGGATTTACACATAGGTGTAGAGTACCTTGAGATAGTGGAATCTCTGGAGAGCGATATATCTTTGTTCCTTGAATGCGTTTCTTGAGCACATCAGATAGCATATACTGTGGGCCTTATATGAGTACGTCACAATGGAGTAATTAATGGTGTAGGATGGATGGATTTACACATAGGTGTAGAGTACCTTGAGATAGTGGAATCTCTGGAGAGTGATATATCTTTGTGCCTTGAATGCGTTTCTTGAGCACATCAGATAGCATGTACTGTGGGCCTTATATGAGTACGTCACAATGGAGTAATTAATTGTGTGTATACGAACATTGTACAAAGTCCATGAATTATGTATGGATATTTGCATGGAAATTTATGTCTACATTGGTATTTTTTTTCATTATAAAAGGTTTTTATTTTTGGCCGTGAAAGTAGCCCTTGCTTTTAAAAAGATAAATCATTTTTAGGCAAGTTTCATGTGCAGAGTCCATTCAAGAAAAAAGAACAAAATGTGATATTCTTAGAGAGTTGGTTTAGCAGTTCAACCTTAGACTTACCTTTGGTTTTGTAATAAATTGCGAGTCGATGTTGTATTTTGCAGCAAACCCTTGATAGGTAATTAATGGGGAAGTCCCTTTCTCATGAACTACTGGTGCCGGTTGGCAATTTATATTAGTTGTCGTTGTTTTAGATTTTGGGTTTGTTACAGTAACAAAGGTTATTTCATGATGGAGTTATAAGTTGAAGAAAAAAACTGTCAACATCAAGACAATGAAGACCAATACAAGGGTGATTTGTATAAAATACAAATCATATTTCAATGCCGTATCCCAAGCGAATTTGGTTGTGAATAAGATTCATGACTTGTTGGATCTCACCATTGATATTTAGGAATTGGATTCTACAGCACTGTTTTTTTTTTTTTTGCTAGGAGTTGTTCAAAGTCTTTGTCATGAAAAGTTAGTAAGGTTCATTTTGTTGATGATCGGTAAATTCTTGGATATCACATGGATGTGCATATAACGATTTCTAGCAATAGTACAATATCAGTTCTCAAAGGAGGGTCATTCTTTCGGATTCTTCTTTAACTGATTTCGTGATTTCTTTCACGTAGGTTAATTACCTTGTGATTCATAGCAACTTGGAACAAAATAAGTCCTAAAAAATACGTTATTTACTTTGTGTATTCTAGATTTCCGTCCTAAGTCTCTTAATAAATTGTCTCTATTGTTCTTTGGAGAAAGAGTAAATAATGTGATTTACCACTTGCTACACTTTTTTTTTATTAACCTGGATATCCAACCCGCTATGCGAGTCGACTAATCCCAGGACGACCACCTGCTTTGCTTTGCAGATAGCCCGGAGTCATATCGCATTTAAACCTCCGTGGCCACGAGGGGATTTTTATTCCTCCTTGGATTTAAACCTAGGACCTCCTCGTACTTTTAACCTTTGGAGCCAAGCTCAAACCAATCAGGCACCACCCTTATGGTTCACTTGCTACACTTTTATTAAAGCTAACGATATATATCTTTTGACCATCTTCAGTTTCCTCGGGTCTGAAACTCTCTGGTGAATTGGGTAGGAAGGTATTCATAGTAAGGGTCCTATTATAACTCACCATCGTCAAGCAACACATTAAATAGTATGTAGTGCTATCATATAAGAATTCTGTATGGTGCATTGTAAAGAAAGAACTCATTAATTCTACAATTTACAAACAGATATGGAAGAATTTTAAAATGGATATGAAGAAAAAGTATATATGAAAGAATGCAAAGGAGAACCGTTTTGCCAATGTATATATTGATATAACAACCAGAAAGACATAGCATTATTACACAAATTTACAACATCATTTACCATTTCTCCTCCATCGCCTCCACTTTATCATGATAAATAAATCTGAATAAGCCTTAGCTAACTCCAATCCCTCGTGCCTCTTTTAGTTTTTCGTTGCTACGTACCTTTGTACTATTTTTCATTGCTGGCGGTCTAGGACACCATATGAATCCCAGGAGTTTGAGGAAGCTGAATTTGCATTGAACTCATTAGACCACCACGTCATGATGTCCTTAGCACCATCCATGTCCTTGAAACAGTCAAATTCATTCGTCTGTGCCTGATCTAACAATACGGAATTAGCTGCTTTATTGCTCAAGAACTCGTCGATTTCAGCTTGTAATGCCCAAAACTGCTGTAATTCCATGCTTGGCTGTTTTGTACCTTCTGATTCTGGTACCTGCATCGATGATCCAGGAATGTTGATTCCATTGATGGAACCCTCCATTTGGTTGATCATTATATTACTCTGCGGAGAATACACTTGTTGAGGACAGTTATTTATTTGTCCATAAAGTTCAACCTTTTGAGGGGAATCGGGTAAAACATGTTGCATCATTAGAGGGTTTGACGATTCATTTAGAAGTTGAAGACTCTGCATCATCTTCTCTTGAATTGGGTTCAACTTACACGGCCACATCGTTAGATTAGCACAGTGAGGAATATTAGGGTTTTCAAGGCTTTGGAGTTGCATGTGAAGTTGGAGCCTTTCAATGGCCGAACTGCTTAGTGTTTCCAGTCCGTTCCCAGTTTTGGGATCCTGGGTTGAACCAGTGAGTCTACTAGCATGAGACTGTTTCCGCCTTCCAAGCAATTTCTTCTTCAGCCTAGTGTTCCAATAGTTCTTGATATCATTATCAGTTCTCCCAGGCAGTTGGGCAGCAATTATGGACCACCTATTTGATTTTGCAAGTAATTTAGATAGAATATTATCCCATAGAAATTAATACATGACCAAGAACTAGAAAACACCTTCTTTGGGTGGAGGTCATGCCTAAATCAATAAGAAACTTGAGTGTGTTATGACATAGAGGTTATTCTTTGAACAAAAGCATCATGTACAAGTGCTAAGGACAAGCAAACTTTGGTTGAAACATGAAACCTGCCCACAACACCTCCCCCCCTCCCCACAAACACACACACACACAAAAGAGAGAGAGAGAGAGAGAGAGAGAGAGAGAGAGAGAGAGTAATACCTGCTGCCGATACTAATATAGAGGCTGCAGATGATGTTGTCTTCTTCTTCAGAGAATCCTCCATGCTTGATATTAGGTCTTAGGTAATTCAACCACCTGAGTCTGCAGCTTTTTCCACATCTCTTTATGCCTGCATATATATATATATATATATATGTATATATAATTAGGTTATAACTCCAAGAAGGGTGTCAGATAAAAAGATCTTGACAAGGCAAATTATAAACAAAGAATGAAGATGCATACCAATCTTTTGCGGAAGAGCGATCCAGTTACCACCAGTACCATATTTTTCAATATAATCTTTGAGTTTAGCATCTTCTTCGGGAGACCATGGCCCCTTCTTCACGTTTGCTTTGTCACAGCAAGGTGCTCTTCCCATCTTCCTTTAGTTCCTGTGTCTTGCAATGGACTCCTCTCTCTATTTCTCTCTCTTTGCGTTAGTGGTGTGTTTGTGAAAAATGGATGAGCGAAGACCCAAGATTTATAGTGGGTATGACAATTAGGGTTGGATGTGATGCTTTTCTCACACAAAAGAAAGTCACACTTTTAGGGTTTTGGTGTCTTTAACAACTTGAAGTATAAAATAGCTAGCTACGTTAATTATGTTAAGTTTTTTTTTTTTTTAAATTTCCATCATATACTTCTATTTTAGAAAATAATTTTAAGAGTTCTCCTTCTGTCTTGAAATAAAAATAATGATCAACCACAAGGGTGGTGTATGACTGATTTGAGTTTGGTTTCAAATGTCAAAAGTAGCAGGAGGTCAGGTTCAAATTTAAGGAGGAATAAAAATTCTTTTGTGGCCACAGATGTTCAAATACGGTGACTCCAGGCTATCTGCAAAGCAGGTGGTTGTCCTGAGATTAGTCGGCTCGCATAGCGAGTTGGATATCCAGGTTAATAAAAAAAAATAATCACTGTATTTCGTTTTTAACATGAGACATTTAAAGATTTGATTAATTTTAAAAATATTAATAAATTACATATAATTAAAACCAAATATCTGCATTTGTTTAATATAAATATAGTAATTAGAGTAAAGAAAATAATAAATCGACATTCTAGTAGCTAATGAACTTTAGGAATGTATGCACTAATATTGGAACTGAATTTTTTGATTAACCTGGACATCCAATCCGCTATGTGAGTCGACTAATCGTAGGTAGCTCGGAGTCACCGTATTTGAACCTCTGTGGCCTAAGGGGATTTTTATTCTTCCTTAGCTTCAAACCTAGGACCTCCATGCACTTTTGACCTTTGGAGTCCAAGCTCAAACCAATCAGACACCACTCTTATGATTAACGAACTGAAAATTAATTAATTACTAATATGTCGGAATTTTTGGATTAGAACAAGGGGACAAGTAATAAAGATAGAAAAAGACAAACAACTATATGGAAATATCTGTTGGTAGCTTTAAATATATATAATCTATAGTAGACTCTGAGAAAATAGTTGTATTTTATTGTTCAAAGGTAATGGTGCAAGTAAAATCAAGAAAGAAACCTCCATGCTCTTTGTTTGTCGTCAACCTCCTGTGCATTGTTCCATTATTAGCTACAGATGTATAACAAAATAAAATATTGTAAATAAAAGTTTGATTCTTTACTAGAAAAATTCGTTAAAATTAATTGGCTTCTTATTTGAAACTGACAATAATTTAATTTCTTACTTCTAATGGATTAATGCAAATTCAATAAATAAAAACCAGGAGAAATAAAACTAGATATAACTATAAAATAAAATAAAATAAAAAGAATTCGTTAAAATATACGGGTGGTACATGATTAAACAAAATAAACAAACAAATAAAAATAAAATAAAACCAGGAAATTCATAACGTCGAAGACTTCTCAAATAAAAGAAGCTAACAAAGTACAAGATCTAACTAAAATCATAACAATGTAATCAGACGACAATAAAAAAGTAGACACTACCCTCTAAAGTGCCCTCATCGTGTATAGTCTCTATTGGGATATCCTCTTACATTTGTCACATATTGGCATAATATTGTATTTTAAGGATGTATATTCTTTTATTTTTTTTCTGATTTGTTTTAACTTCAAGTTTTAAGGATGGTGTATATTCTTGGTTGTGGTATAGGTTATATTTTAGGACTGTCTTGTGTAATAATTCGTTGGCCTAATCAATGGAATAAACAAGACTTCTACACTAATATTTTTCTCTTATCAGAGCTACACAACTAAGATTCATGATCGATTGTCAGTTTGTCACCATGACGGGTAAAAAAGAAGCTACATGGATGTTGTCTTCAAGAAACAATCACAAGTCGCCTTTCTTTCTTAGATCACAAGACGAACTAGGCGATTTCATTAACCCTATTTGGCTTCCATATGATAATTATGACCAGTGGAAAGATTTGTGTATCTCGCTCGTCTCTCTTGTCAAAAATTTGGCTTCATCAATGGCACCATTATAGAACCCAAGGCCCCACCCTTCATGTTGGAGGATTGGATCACGAGGTTCTCTTGATGCTCGTCTCTTGGCTAATGCATACTATTGATCTAGATGTTCAGTTTACTATCTCATTTATGATGATGCTAAACTATTATGGGATGAATTAAAAGCTCCTTTCTCTGTTACTAATGGCCAAAAGTTGCAATAATGAAAAAAGTGATATCGTTAAATGTGAACGATCTAAAAGTATGTTTCTTGCTACATACTTTCGGAAACTTAACGTTTGTGAGATGTCTTAGCTAATCATGAACCAATTATTGCATGCAAGTGCTGAAAATGTACTTGTGGCTTGGGTAAGGCGCATGAAAAATGTTGTGACAATGAGCGCCTCCATCAATTTTTGATGGGTTTAAATTATGAATATTATTTACAGCTACACTTTATACTGTTATCCCCAAGAGCCTTTAACTTCTCTTGATCGTGTTTATCAACAAGTTGCTCAAGAAGAACAGGTTCGTGGAATTTTATGTGCCAAAAAGACTCCAGAGATGGTGGCGTTTGATGTGCGTTTGGAAGGAAGAGGAAAAGGGAAACCCAAAAACCGATAAATTTGGGCTTGTCTGCTCTCATTTCCATTGTTCGGGGCATGAGACTGCAAATTGTTTTCAGCTTCTTGGGTATCCAGAATGGTGGGGGGATTAGACCCTATACTCAAGGTATATAATTTGCTCGTAGCAAGGGAAATGGTGGTCAAAGTTCAGATCCATCGGTAGCGGCTACTGGACGCGGAAAAAGTGTCATTGTTTGTGCCATATGTTAGAATAGAAAGGAAAAAGATATAGTTATAAGGAATAATCATTAACATTCATACCATTATCTGTTTTCAGCATCAAGCTAACATACGTATATATAATTCAGATTTATTTTTATTAACTCTATTTAATATATGGTATAAATAGGTAGTTATGGGATGCAGTTGAGGATTGACAGTTAATACCTGTTCCCTGATGGAAGGAACCGTTGCATCCCTTGTTGGCGCCATTTTGAGACTTATAAATACAGAAGTCAATCCTGTTGTT